GGATGGGAGGCGGCTGCACCAGGCACCACACTCCTTTCCAGAAACTGTTCAGACTCTGAAAGGCACAGCACAGCCTCCATGGCTGACGGCTACAGAGGCAAAGAAGAGAGGAAAAGCTGGCAGCAGAGCCAGAGAGCTTAAGGCGCAGCTCTGATGGGCATGTGAAGCGTGGTCGGTGCACCTGGCAACCGCCGGGATCTCCCAGGCGCTCTGAGGCCAGTAAGTGCGCCCGCCGTCTGGTTGCACCACCAGGGGCCCAGAGCGGCCTTTGCCCACTCGGATGCCATGGGGCAAAGACACTGGAGCAGCTCGTGGAGGGCTCCCTGGTGAGCCACCGGTTCAGGACGACCCAGAGCCATAGGGAGTCCCCATCAGTGACACGGACTCTGTAGCTGGAGACAAGTGTTTGTGCTGTAGAGAGGGGGCAGCCGGCAGGAGAGGGCTAATCTCCTCCGAGGAAGGCCGTGCCTTCCCTTGTTAAAGCCAGCCGGGTGCAACCCCTACTTTAAATCCACCAGCGCAAAGGCCTGAGACAGGCTCAGCCCTGCACTCAGCCATCCTCTCTGAGTCCCCATCCCACACCTGTGGGCCGAGCTGTGCCTCCTGGGGGGTTGTGTGTGTGTGTGTGTGTGTGTGTGTGTGTGTACATGTACTGACACTTTTTTCTGTCTTTACAGTAACTTTAAGGGACTTTTCCTTTGGTACTTTTTCCAAATCCCAGGGCTGGGAATTCTCTCCCAAGGCTGCCAGATTCATGAGCAGCAGCGCTGGAGAGAGGCAACGCCCGAGTTTTCAGGGGACAGCCTGCTGGGGGGTCCTCAGGTCCAGGCCAGGCCCCTTGAAACGCCGCAGGAGCAGACCCACTGAGAAGGCTACGAAGGAGGCGCCAGGCGGGGAGCCTGCTTTTGGAAAGCTCAGCCTTCCCCCCGTTCGGGCCAGCTGTGCCTTCTTCTGCTCTTATTCACGACTGCAGGCAACTTTGGGGGGAAATAACCTCTTCTCCTACAGCCTTGTGTCCAGGGAACCTCCTGATGGCCCTCCCTACACTCTGCACGTTAGTCTGTAGGGGAGCCTGTTGGTGGGGTCCAGAGAGCTCGGTCTGACACGGTATCTCCGAGGCCCCTGCCGCCCCCGGCCCGCCCGGAGCCCCAAGGGTGCCGGCTATTGGCCAAGAGCCACACGTCGATGCCATGTCCCCAGGTGTTTCAGGGCCCAGAGCTCCCTCCCACCGATGCAGCACGTTCCCCAAACCCAGGCCCACCCCGGGCCCCAGGTCCAAGGCCGGCAGGCAGGGGGATGTGAGGACGGCCGGTGTGAGGTGCCAGGGGACACGGCTGAGTCTGGACACCCACACACGGATGTGAGGGACAAAGACTCCCACAGCCCTGGGCGGGTGGCTCCGCTGCCGGAGCGTCGTCCTGGGCCCTGGAAGGCTGCAGTTTGACTCCTGGGCGGGAGTGTAGGGGGAGCGGCCGATCGACGTGTCTCTCTCCACCCCCCCCCCCCGCTTCCTCTCTCTCTCTAAAAATTAATAAATATATCCTCAAGTGAGAAATAAAGAGGTCTAAAAATAATTAAAACAAGAACCAGGGTACACAATGGTGGCAGATGCAGGACAGTACTCCCTCCCCCGCGTGTCTGAGTGCTTCTTCTGTGCCCTGTGGTCGGACACGGGGTCTTGAAGCACACACCTGTCCGGGGCACTTGCGGGGACTTTGATGGCTTGGAAAGCAACGCCCACCTCCCGGGGCCAGGTGATCACCCCGCACCCATCAACCACCAGTGCCCCGCAGGGAAGGCGGCCAGCTGAACAGCAGTCGAGGCCATGTGGCCCCTTAAATACTCAGCCCGCCAGCTTCTCTTTGGCCAGGGGTCCGGCCTGCCTGTTCCCTTCCCTGGCCAGGCCCATGCTCCTTGGTTCCCTAAGAAGCTGTGCTGTGACCGGAGACACGAGAGAGGGTCATTCCCACAGCCGTGCCCCCATGGGCTTCCCCCAAGGCTCTAACTCTGGGGTCTCCAGGTGACGGCCCATGGTCTGTTTTGAATGACCAGTGCGCTAGGAATGGCTTTTACAGTTCTACATGGCTAAAGAAAATCCAGAAAAGAACTTCAGGAAAATCCAGAAATCCATCCCATGGCATGTGGAAATAAGAAGAAATTCGAATTCCAGTGTCTGCATGGCCGGCAAGGCCTAAGACACTGACGTCTGACTTTGCAGAGAGTGCGCCAGCCCCGCCCACCCAGAGCTACCCCCACTCGCCACTAATGACCACCGTGCAGGGACCCACAGAGAGCTGCTCCTGGCACCTTCGCCCCGAGCCCGAGGGGGCAGCCAGGGGCAGCGCCCGCCAGTTCCGCAGCCCACGAGCCACCTCCGTCCCCGTTTGCTTCCCTGGGCCCCAGCTCCTCTCCACCCCCCCAGGGCCTGCCAGCAGCTGGCACAGACCTGGGCACCAGAAGTCCCGTGTGGCAGCCGGGACAACTTCTAAAACCGCAACGGCACCCTCGATGCCTTGGAACAGGCTCTTCCCAGTGGGAAACAGGCTCGGAAGGAGAAACGTGCACCTGAGTCCCCGCGTCCCCTTCAGAGGATGACGCGGCTACAGCGCCCGTGGAGAGAGGACAGCCCCGTTTTCAGCAGAGGCCAGTGCGGACAGGAGAGTGACGCTCCTGCGTCACAGTCACCACTGCGATCGCTCTGATCCAGGGGGCGCTGCAGGGGGTGCGCCACTGCACAGGCAGGCAACCAGGGCCCAGGGAGGCGGCACTGGCGGTGGGGGACCCCGCCCCACACCTGCGGGCCTCCCTCTCCGGTCAGTCGGTCAGACGGCACCTCGTCCTCAGCCTGTGCTGTTCTGGAAACCGTGCACTGCTCTGGCCCCGCGGGGGACTCGCACAGCCCTCTGCTGGGGGACCCTCCAGAGCTCGGACAGCCGGCACCAGCCCCTTGCAGAGAGCGGCAGGTGCTGCTTTACTCAGAGCGGGAATCACGAGGTCTGTCTGGGGACCACCCACCACCTCTATCGAGGAGAGAGCCGCCGGCGTGGGCCACCACTGTGACCTTTGCAGCTAAAGGAGAGACGGCATTTCAGTGTGAGCGTGGAGAAAAACAAGCGCTTTTGCCATCGCCCCCGTGGACTTTAGGGTCTGACCCCTGTGCCAGGAGTCACCTGGGAGCCAGCCTGTGCCCAGGAGGGAAGTCCTTGAAGGTCAGACCAAGTCTCTTGAGAACTCACCCCAGGGAACTGAACTCACTACCCAAGTCCCGTGCTTGCCCAAGAGCTGAACGAACCACCATTCCACGCCCCTTGTCGGCATGAGAAGTCCGAGCTCGCACGGAACCTCTAGAGTCCACGCCAAACCGACGGCAATGCCAAGAAGCGGAGTCTTGGTGCTGGAGAGGCTGTGCGGGGAAGAGCAGCAGTGCTGCTTGGCCTTGGACAGCACCCGTCCACTCACTCACTCACTCGCTCACTCATCTGGGGCGAGGGGAAGGGAGGGGGAAAGAGAGGGGAAGATGTTTCTTCCCCTCTTTTGCACCCCCTGCAACCCTGCGGCAGGGAACCAAACCCGAAACCCAGGCATGTGCCCTGACCAGGAATTGAACCAGTGACCTGTCAAGTTCATGGGATGATGGCCAACCTACTGAGCCACACCAACCAGGACGTGCAGCTTATTTCATGCGTTAGAATCAATGGAGGAAGTAAGGGGGGGGGTCACATGAAATCCAGGGGTGGTAGATTAGGGAGGCGGGAGAAAGCAAAGCGGGCATCTCGGGACGGGGAGAAAAGTGAAAAGGACGGATACTTCTTTCGCTCTGGTGGGCACGGGAGGGTCCACAGTTAATGTGTACAGAACACAGAGGTGTGATTAGGGAGTGAGGGGACAATGAGACCGGGGTCTCCTGCACCGCGGGGAGGGGTGCCCTGTGGTGTCTGGAAGCAGGTTGCCCAGACGCTTCAGAGGTGTGCTGCCTCGGATGCAGAAGGACGGCAGAGGGGCTCGTGGCAAAGCCTGGCCTTGGCACAGACTGCCGCCAGGACCCCCTTCCATCAGGGGTCTGCTCCGACCGGCCGGCGTGGTCACTCTCCGTGTCTGGGTCTGTGCGCCCACCTCACAGGACCGTCCCCCCACCCGAGGGTGTCGGGTTCAGGATGTGGCCCCTGTCACAATGCACACCTGGAGGCTGATCTCGCATGACACAGGTGGACACTGGTTACCGTCGATCTCGACCACTGTGGGGGAGGAATGCGCCCTGTGCGCTGAGATGCTACTGCGCACCCCTCCCCAAGGCGCACTCTGGTGGGGCGGCCAGCAGACTGTCCGTCTCTCAAGTGCTGAGGTTTCCTTGCTGAGGAAGCAACGGGGGCAGTGGCAGAGCTGCCCGAACTGAAGCAGGGAAGTCCAGCCAGTGGACACGGCTCCTGACTTTTACAGAGGAGGACATCAGCACTTAATTAAAAAGGGGAGGGGATGTGTCTGAGTTCAAGGTTGAATGAGATGGACTTAACTGATCCTGGAAAATATGCCACAAAATGATAGGATGTGAGCAAATCCTGATCTAATAAAGTTTATGTGTTCCTCTCTCAACATCCTCTCATTAAATTCTGATTCCCCTATCTGTTGTAATTTAACGTGCCCTTCACCAGTCTGTTTCAGGTTTATTTTGAATACGGAAGTGGGTATTTTGTTGAAAAGATTAGCTGTCACAGCTCAGACGCTGACCTTCCTAACATGATTTAGTAAATCGCGATTTTCCCATCAAACTCTTTGGGAATGAAAACTTTGTCCTTGGAGCTAACAGTTCAGAGACCAAGGAGCACCCCGAGCCTGCCCTCCCCCTTTGCAAAGGCAGAGTTTACAAGAGCAAGGCTCCTTCCTCTTTGTTTGCAATAACGAAAATAAACCCAAGTCATGACATACTTGCAGCATTTCCATTCCTAAAGGAAAAAACAGGAACCCTCATTGTACTTTCAAGTTATTACTCAGCCCTGGGACCAGCTGCGCAGACACCAGCGCTGAGGCTCTCTAGGAAACACCCAGTGGGGTGTGCCTGCGAGGTGCCCGGGGGGCCTGGGAGCCGCCTTCCCAGAGGGCTTCTGCCGCGCAAGCCCGGGCCGGGAGGCACGCTCGGGGCTGGGGTTTTTCCTGTTGCCTGGCTGCTGACCCCCTACAGGAAGATAACGGACGGAGGAGCCAGGAGGGCGGAGCAGCTCGCTGCACGTGTCTGGCTGCTCTTATCAACTTATCATATAAGAGGAGGCGAGTGATCAATTTGGACCCTGACGCGCAGCCTCGGGGGGCAGAGGAACAAAGCAGCGTGGACACGACCCCCAGGCGAGCACAGCCCTGCCCAGGGAGAGGGGCCACGCTCCCCGTGGAGATCTGACAGCTCTCGGCAGGACAGACTCGGGGAAGCCTGCTGCCGGGGTCTCTGGGACCGGGCTCCCACACATGGACCCTGAGCCGGGCAGCTGAGCCCTGAGCCTGCAAGGGCCGCAGAGCACCCGGTTCCCATGCGCCTCCGAGTCTGCTGAGCTGCTGGCCCGTCCCCCAGACGAGGAAAGAATGTGGCGGGTTGTTTTCTTTACTCTGAGCTGGGACCTGGCCCTGGCTGCAGCCTACGGCAACTTTCGGAGGAGCATGGACAGTGTCGGGCGGAGGCAGTACCAGGTCCAGCACGGCGCCTGCAGCTACACCTTCCTGCTGCCCGAGAGCGACAACTGCCGCACGCCCTCCAGCCCCTACGTGCCCAATGCCGTGCAGCGGGACGCGCCGCTCGACTATGACGACTCGGTGCAGAGGCTGCAGGCGCTGGAGAGCATCATGGAGAACAACACCCAGTGGCTCATGAAGGTAGGAGCGCGCAGTCTGCCTCGGGGCCAGCGCCAGGGGTCTGCTCTAACACCCGAAGGGGGTGATGGCAGGGGAGAGATGGCTGTGGACACCTCGCGATGAATGAGGGCAGCTGGTGTCCAACGCCAGGGTGGGAGGCCGGCGCGGCGGGACGGGGGAAGCGCTGTGTGAAGTGTCAGAGTGGACAGAGGTGGACAGAGGGCCAGCCCTCCAGTGGGGAACCTTCCTGCGCCGGGCGGAGGAGACGGGCAGGGTGCTCTGTTCAGGGCGGTTAGGCTCTGCAAGAGCCGCTGCCAGGGACCTCGCATCTGGCTGCAGCCTGGGAGGGGGGTGGAGAGCAGTGGCCAGGGACAGCAGTCGCCCCGGAGCCGGGGGAAAAAGGGGACAATCATGTTAATTACAGATCTATAACGATGGAGGAAAGGGCTTTACCGATTTCCTGAACTTATGTACTAAAATAGACCGTGGCTCTTAGTGAAGGAGAGGAAATTAAATAAAGCAGGTCTCATGTTTCTCAGAACCCCAGGGCTCCCCCCCACGGGGCTGCATTTGTGAAGGGGTAAGTTTCCCCAGTGTCTGGGCGGAGTTCAGCCCCGCAGCCCCTCCAGGGCCAGCGCTGGCTCTGCAGAGGACCCACGTGGGGCAGGACGGGATGCAGGACCGGGTTCGCCGCTGCTCCGGTGCTGGGGTGGGAGGTCTTGCTCTCAGGTCAGCCTGCGAGAGCTGTTTACAAAAAAACCCCAGCCCCCAGGCATTTCACTGTGGTGCACTGTGTCCATACTAAAGGAGGGGGTCCCTAGACGCTGCTTACAGGCTGTAGGATGTGACTATTCAAAGCCACCAGGAACTTTAACGAGCTGGTCCGTCTCATTCACAACTCTGCCCCAGAGGAGCGGATCAGGATCAGCCTTTGGTGCCACTGGGAACTGTTGGTTAGGATGCCTTATCTGAACCTCAGAATAGGTCTCGGCTCCTAATCTGCGTTTCTCATTAACTCTGCTGCCTTCCGAGAGGAAAGGACTGGGTTATTAGCGGAGCCCGGAGCCCCAATGAATGAGCGCTCTCAGCGTGGCATTCCCGGGGTCGCTCCAGATCAAAGAACAGAAAACACAAAAACCGACTGACCCACTCTGTCCCATAAAACTCATTAGTGACATTCCCCAAGGCACTGTCCCTTTGGGTGACTTTCCGGTAGGTTCCTCTCTCCTGAGGACGTCCCCCTGGACGTCTAAATCTTCCCACACTCGGAGTGGTGTGAGGAGCAACATTAGACCTGCAAGCAGCATGCAGGACCCAAGTTTAAGTGTGTGGGAGGCAGACCTGCCTCCCAGGTTCCTGCTCACCCTGTCTGACCGCGCGCATGGCTTGGGAACGTCCCCACGTCTTGCGGTGCAGGGCCAGTGGCCATGGGCAGGGCGGGAGAAATACCCTCCATTCTGGTAAACACTAATCTGGGCGGCTGCTAAGTCACCTCTGAAGATAATCAGCCTGGAAACAACGTAAAAGAATGTTTTGCCAAGTGCAAGACTGCTAAATTGTATTTGCTTGATGGAGCCCCGAGAAGTCCACCTGAAATGCCAGGAGCGGGGCTCATATTTCTTCCTTAGATAAACAGCCCATTCTCTGGGATCTTTGAGACTCTGTTTACAGTAGGGACAGGACAAGGAAATCTACATTATGTGACCCCAATTTTTTTCCTTATCAGGTTGAGTTAGCAAATATTTGAACAGTGGCACAGGGGTATCTGGATTCCTGCATTAGCTACCTAGCTAAATATCACCAAGGATGACTTAATGTTTATCTCTTCTCCGGCCCCGCACCTGCTCCCCCAGCCCATCTGGGTGCCGTGCACCTGAGAAAGTCCGTCGGTATTTTCACTTGGTTTATGGGCTTCTGGTCTGGGAGTAAAGGCAGAAGAGCAAATAGGACCCCACTTAGAGCGGCTGCACGCTGGCTCTCTGCTTGTTTTATTCTTCTGTGTTTTGCCACCTGCGACAACAGACAGCGCTCATGTCCTACGGGAGAGCACAGTATCTGAGGGAGGACAGATAAGCAGAGGATGAAAGGGTCCGCTGCCCACACTCACACCTACTGCCAGGCCGTCACAGAAAGGAAAAACACACTTCTGCGGTTTTCGTTTCCCAGGCTTCCTCCTCTTTAGAGATGTTTATTTATATATTTTTGTTTCCCTATTTCCTTTCTCTCCCTGACCAACACTGAATATGAGGGGGTGGGGGAGGGAAGGAGGGAGGGAAGGGGAGAAGGGGAGCGGGGGAGAGTGAGGGCACTTTAAGCGTTCCAGAAAATGTGTCAGGAAGGGAAGCAAGCCCCGGTTTCTGGTGAGCTGAGTCTCAGGGCAGGTGAGGGGCGTTCTGTCTCGGGAGTGGTTGCCGTGGCCTTGGGACCGGGACTACAAAAGCTGTCTTGCGCTTCATCAGAGATGCCACTCTGCCCTCTTTCTCTGCCAGGCAAGGGGGGAGTGGAAGCCTCTGCATGAGGGAGGGGCGGGCTGGGGCCGCGCAGGAGCAGAGACGCCCTCCAAGTCGGTGCTGGCGCCGAACACTGCGGTGACCCATGAGGGCCCTGGACGCCGCTGCCCCTGCAAAGCCACCAGGTCGCTAAACCTCTGCCCCAGATACTAAACACGCTTTGTAAAGACTGACAAATAACAACGTGGATCGTGTCTTGCTAGGAGGCCAAATGTTTTTCCCCCAAGTAAGAGGAAACAGGGAAGGGAAATAAACAACTCTTTCACACTGATGAACACCTTACATGTGTAAACAACTGCCAAGTCCATTGTGCTTGAACACAGACTGTTCTGAAAAATACAGCTACTGCCTGTGAACTTGAGGTAGACACTCTCTCGGTCATCTGCTTGGGTTTTTTTTTTTATGACAAAAATACTGGCTGGAAACTGCAAACCTGATCTGAGACCCTTCCCTTCCTTTAAAAGTAAGATCTGAGGCCTTTTAACAGGACAGGAGAACTACACTCCTCAGTCGACCCGTGGTGATTGAGCAAGGCAGTCTGGCTCCTAAAATCGGAACTGCTGTTGGAGGGAGGGGCTGGGGCAGACGCCTCCCAGCTCTCAGAACACTGCCTGCCCCCGCCCCTGGGACGGGGTCAGTGTCTGTGAGCCTGTGCACACCAATGTGTGCATGGATGTGTGTGAGAATGTGCACGTGCGTGTCGGTGTGTGAATGTGTGCATCCTGTGCCGGGCTCCGTAACAGAAAGAACGACCGCTCACGCCCTTGGCTCCTGGACACGGCAGTGTGTAACCTCCGCTGTGTCCTCAGCTGTGACGTGTTTAGTGTCTGCAGCAAATTTGGTGGGTTCAGCTAAGCCGACTAACCCCTTTATTTAAGATCGTAGGAGAAGGCTGGTTATTACTATTTAATTACATACTAATAGCATTATGGTGAGGGATGAACAGGTTTCACTGCGGTAGGGCAGGTACGATAGATTTACATCTGGAAAATGCAAGTACAACAGAACGTTTACTATAAATAGTAAGCAAGACAGTGCAATACACGAAATGTAATAAATGCTTACTCTATGTTACACACGAGCACATACGCATGTTTCCTTTCTGTGATCAAGAGGCCCTGCCGACTTCACGGGGGAGGTCACACTGGTTTAACTCTGTACGCGCCACACTACGAGAACCGGGAAATGGACTTGCACATGCAACTTCCGCGCGGCCTCCACGCTGAAACGTGGAAACTGGCTGATTTTAATTAACACAGTCCCTTACAAACAGCAGAAACTGGGAGGTCAGGCCCCTGCCCCGACTGCTGGTCCCTCCTTCAGGCAGCGCCTGCAGAGACTCCTGCTGGCTCTGTACTGTGACCGGTTCGGCATCACGACGCACGAATTCCCTTCTCCGCATATACCGTGACATTATGACATGATCAGACTCTTTTTTTGGCTCCCCAATGACATGAAAAGAGGCCGGAGGGGAGAGATTTCAATGAGGGAAAAAGCAAAATTTAGAAGACAGAGGTAAGGGAGAGTGCAGATGAGGCACTACACACACTGGACTCGCCGTGATGGGACCTGTCACAGGGAGAAACAGTGGTGGCTGGGGCGGGAGTGTCCGGCGGGTCCTGAGTGCTCCCTGGGTGGACGGCTGGGGCCACACCGTGCATCGCGGGTCTGGTCCGACGCTCCCAGTGAGCAGGGTGTCGGCTGACTTATGACGGTGACAGCTGGGAGGACACGCCGTTGTCTCTCATGAGTCCTGAGTTACGTACCTCTATACTTAGCGAGAACTGAACCATTTCTATTAAAAATAAAAGACAAAGTGAGCCACACACATATACATATGTACACACACGTATATGTATTGACATATACATGTGTATACGCACATGTATGTGTGTATACATATATATGGAGAGATATATATGAGACTATCCTCACTGCATCCTTCCTTGAAGAAAACAAACAATAAGATGCGTGCCCTTAATTGTCCCAGAGGTCTATGAGAGGAACAGAGCCACCCGGCTGCACTGCTGGCCCTGAGGTCTCAACGGCACCCAACAGCAGGCAGCAACAGACCTGACAGCTCTTTCCGCACCTCTGCTCATTGTCCTCAAACGGCCCCACCATGCGGGCGCGGGCACCGCCCCACCGGTCCCGCCGGCACCTGTGCACACGGCCGGGAGGCACCAGAGTGCTCCGCAGCTCCCAAGTCCTGCAGGGCTCCGGCTGAGAAAAGCACACACGGAGCAGCACCAGTTCAACGCCCCCCCGCCCCCCCCGGGCCCAGACCCAGGACTTTCTGGGGGCCTGGCCAGACCGCGGGACACTGTTGGGAAGTGCGGATGAGTGTGAACAGAGTGCTAGTCTTTCGCTCCCTGGCCTCCCTGAGTCAAAGCCTACCTGCCCCTCCCACCCCTCGTGGGGGTTTTCTGTGAGGACAGGTGTCATCAAGGTTCATGTGCTTGTTCCACAAACATTGACGGAAGGCCCGCGTGTGCCCAGGTGGGGCCTGGG